CCCAAGGACGATTCTTATTAAAATTGGACATAATCGGTCAAAATTTAGATATAGGGCCCACATATATGTTCGTCCGATTTGCCTTTTATTATGCACCAAACGTGTAATATCAGCCCAAATAGTATGAATATGCGACCAAATTGAGCCTGGAAATAAGTATGCCAAATTTGATCGAAAACGGTTCAGATATATCTATAGCTCCCATATATATTTTTCATCCGATTTGATGTTTTTGTCCTCCGCAGCCGTAATATGCACTCCGTAAGAACGATATTTGGGGACATATATCAAATACTGCACCGAAATATGTTTTTCAAATTTTATGCACGTAGGTTCTGATTTGGATATAGCTCCCTTATATATATCTTCGTCCGATTTGCTTTTTATTGCGCACCAAACCTGTGATATTAGCCCAAATTTGAAGAATTTGAGCCTAGAAACAAGTATGACAAATTTGGTGATAATCGTTTCAGATATAGCTATAGCTCCCATATATATTTTTCATCCAATTTGTTATATTTTTTATTTGACATATGAAACTCTACTGAATATGCAAAGGGGTGTAGGGTGTCATAAAGTCGGCCCCACCCGACATTTATACTTTCTTTACTAGTTTTATTTCCTACATCTTCCTGCCGAAATGGCTGCAATGTGACAAACAATGCGCATGCAAATATTTGTAAAACTTCTACTCCATCATTGCATAATGAAGCATAATATTAGTCTGCCTCATCCATACTAGCGGAACAAGTACTCCTGCATCCACTAAACACCCACCGGATATTCGGTTATCTACTTAAAGTGTCCACTCATACCCAATGGTATGAGTGCAACATGTTCATGATACAGTATTATCAACATGTTGCTCTAGCCTGTCTAGCTGCAACATGTTCAAATGTCTTTAGTGACTGTGATTAATTACAGTGACATCAACTCCCATCCACTGGAGTTTGGGGCCTGTATTCAAAACAGTACGAAGCCCAAATCAAATTTATTTTTCACACCCAAAATCAACAGTTTTCTGCCTTCTAATGACGACATCTCTGCTAACAACTTAAAACCAAATTAAGTATATCATGTCTTCTTTCAATTTAGAAGAGGTATTAGATTTCTTTTGATGGACTCTCTTTTCGGCGTTTTTCTTTCTTAATTTTTTCTAAAGTGCAGATAGGCAACAAAGAAAAATAAATAAAAAACAGGACTTCTTAAGCCTTGTGGCTACTTTTGTCATTTATAATGAAACAAGTAACGATGAAGTGGCCACAGCCACAGTCATGGCCAGACATCAGACATTTGTAACATGCGTAAGCATTCCCATCAACTCCGAGATTCAATTGTGTGCGAGTGTGGGGATAATGCGACATTTAATATAGTCCTGTGCTCGGCGTATTGAAGGTGTCCAATTTCACCTCAAATCCCATGGGTGAGACGTGAGGGTATTGCCTCAATAGCCTCAAAGGTGAATTGCATTTCGTTGTTGCAATCGGTATTAAAACGTAACAAATTTTGTAAATAAATATTGGTATTCATTATTGAATACATATTGCTATGATGCATCCCGAAATGAACTTTGAAGCCATTTTGCAGAGGGGGCAACTTGCAACAATGTAAAATGTATGTCCGAAAGGTAACCATTCCTCAAATAGTTAATGTGAAAATGAAGTCATCCCATTTTTTATTAGACTGGAGCAAAGGGATCGTTACTGGCAATAATTGCTTGTATCCTGTAATTATCATCCTTTAAACGATTGCCATTTAATTAGGAGAATTTTATGCGATTAGGTCGGTGCACATTCTGCGTAATTGCAGGTAAGCAATAATCGTTTGTCGCCGTTGATGGTAATTTTTAAACTTTGCTATTCGTCTGGATCAGAATATGCTAATTACTGATGCCATGCATCGGAGCTAATTTGATTTTAATCCCAAAACCTCACAACAAAATGCAGTTACGTTGTAGTTGTTGTTGTCGTTGATGTTAATGTTTGGTACCTGTTTGCGTCAGAAATAAATACATACATACAAACATATGTATGTAACGACAACAATCAAAGGGGAAAATATGTGTGTATGTTTTTAGTTGGTGGCATGTTTTAAAATGGCCCAGTGTTAAATGGTTATATAAATCTCTTGATTAGGAAAAATGCTTGGATTTGTGTGAACTTAGTCCTCCGATATAAGAAAATCTATAGAATAATCTGGACAATATCTGCACTACATCATACTAAAGATAATTATGTCCTTACACCCATTGTTATTCTTTAAAAACTTAACATAATCACTTTCTAAGCCTATATTTGCATGTCCAACCGTCACATTAAGGTACAAAAAAAATCACATTTTACTTGCATGACAAAAAGGCAAACTCCACAAAACTTGGTGATTATCTGCACAGATTTCATATAACTTAAACGAATCAAGATAGATTTAAGTGCACAGAGTTAAATTGCTGCTAGAATTTAGTCGGTCAGATACAATCTACAAATACATCTGCCTAACTCTGATTTCGATATAGCTCCCATATAATAAGGTGAATTTCTGAAATTTTTGTATTGGACCCACATCCACATTTAAGCATCCGATTCTGATACAAGATCTGTCATAAAAAATGATATATCAGTCCATTCCTTCATGTACCACCCCCACAAAGGAGTCCAAATTTGAAATAATCAAAACTCCCATATGATGCGAAATAAGCATCCGATTCCTCACAAACTTCACATATCCCAATTTTTTTACTAACGAAAGTCAGGTGTAAGGATAATATATAAAAGGGGTCAAGATGTTCAATACTTATATCTCTCATGACTTCTGAAACAAATCAGCGATGCTTTTCAAACGTGGTATATCTAAATATTTCTTTAATCACAGATCTCATGTGAATGTGGAATATATCGGTCCACTCCTTTTCGTACCTCCTCCACAAAAGGTAACAATTTTGAATCACAATCATTCGCTTAAAATTTATGAAAATTGAAGTATCCACCACATTCAAAATCTGGCACGTTGTATTATTTATAATGGATTTAGGTCAGATACGCAATGCACAATATTTCTCATAAAGTGTCAACAGTTTCAATAATCATAACGCAAATTCAAATATATTTAAAACCAGTAAAGAAAGTCTTAAAGTCGGGCGGGCCGATTTTTTGATACCCTACATCACTTAGCTTATTAAGTAGAGCTTCACATAACAAATAAAAGTTTTTATGGGGAATTTGTGAGAATTAAATCATACCAACTACGATTATAGTTACAATTTAAAGTCCAAAGGAACAAATATATGAAAGGAATATCCTCCTCTGAATCGATTTCTACTAAATATGCCGAGGCATTTGTGCCTTTTCAATTCGGGCTTGTACTACCTATTTGGTGCACAATTAACTTAAAATGGCTATATCAAAATCTGAACCGATCTCGATAAAATTTGGCAAAGGTATTAATGAGCTGTATTTGATATATTTCCCCGAATATCGTTGTTACGAAGTGCATATTAGGGCTGTGGGGGACAAAAATAACAATTCGGATGAACAATATATATCGGAGCTATAACTATATCGGAACAGATTTTCACCAAATTGAAAATAATTGCTTCTAGACTCAATTTGGTCGTATGTGCAGAATTCCATACTATTTGGGCTGATGTTAGACTTTTGGGGCACAACAAAAGGCAAATCGTTTGAAGATAGCATATATGGGAGCTATATCTAAATTTTTACCGATTTCAAAAGGGTTCGTCCTTGAGCCAAAGAAATGATTTTTGCAAAAATAAATGCGACCTGTACCTTATTTACAAAAATACACGTACAGACAGATGGACGAACAAGTGGACGGACATGCATACATCGACTTAGAAGGTGATTGTATGCAGATCATCAAACGGAACTATGGGTCTATCTCGTTTCCTTTTGGCTATTACAAACAACTGCACAAAGACATAATACCCTGACAAACTTGTGGTGTAGGGTATAAAGACGGACATTGGCTGAAATTGTACATCTGTTGGCAAAGCCGGCTTATACTTTTTAACTTGTTTTCTGAGGTGGTTACTGAAAATGGTAAATAACATGTTAGTCAGCCAACCTTAACAGTTGGAACATTTATACGTCTGAAGTATAATTAATGAATCACTTAATTAATTAATGATCTTCGAAAAAGGCATCGATCCACCGAGCAGCTTGGCATCATGGCTAGGCATATTAATGTAAAATTATAAGGGAAATCAGCGGTAGAATTCGAGTGTGGCTCCGATATCCCTTTGTGACATGTGACAAAATAGTCCATGCGAAGACTCCAAGCTGCTTATGTAGCCACATGTTTAGTTTTTGTCTGGGGATATTTAACAATTCCTACGAAGCTCAATAGAAAATGAACGAAGACCACAGTATCTTCGACATTTATTCTAAATCTTACAATCGTACTTATTTATCACTTTATCCGCTGGTGTGGCTCGTACCTAAAGAGAATTAGATATGAACGTTGGTTTTGTTTGTTACGACGAAACCCTCTCCTTTTGTCTATATAGAACAGTCTTGGTATTTATTTGTTGAAATAGGGTATTTGTTGAAATAATAAGCGATTTTTATGTTAGTCTTAATTCCATAATTAATGTATTCCTTTTTCTTAAAAAAAAAAAACAACAGACATAGGATCAGGCCTGAATAATTTAAAACAACATACGAATTAAAGATTCCAGCGCTGTTTTTAAAATATTTTAACATTTTACATTATTTATCCTCCACTGCAAATCCTCTAATGTTCATCGTTTTTTGCATGTGACGTATAATGATTTTGTCCTTGACAACATCTTCATCCAAAAAATCTTTAAAAAAATCAAAATATTTTTTATTTATTTGGTACTAAATCAACATTCTTTAACTAACAATCATGGACATTGCCCAATTCGAATGGCCAGACTAATAAATAAATTTTGTATTTAATTTTGAACAGCACCTATTCGAACTTATCTTGAATAATTGTATTTTGCTTTATTTTCATTGCAGATTAGCAAAATGATGAACGTTTCGAAAATCTTCGCTTTATTTGCCGTTTTCGCCATTGCCCTTTCAATTGCTATTGCTGAGGCCCGGCCACAGAATACAATTGAAACAACCCAGGTAAATACCTAAAATATTCAGAATGCAATAACAATTTTGATTTTTAATTCTCCTTTCTCTCCATTCCCACAGAATATGAGCTTAGACTCGGTTGATACGGATATTGATGATTTGCGTAGCCTTTACTATGATCTGCCAGTGCAACAAAACATTTATCCCAATTTGCCACTGGATCGCTTGCAAATGATGTTCGCCCAATATCGACCCACGTAAGGATGAAGAATACCTTTGGCTTTTTTTTAGCATTCCTTTACCGTTTTCTTATTTTTTTCCAGTGCCTATCTGCGGTCACCAATATCCAACGACATTTACCGTTTGCCAGAAGCCAAGCGCCAAGTCAAATACAGGCAATGCTACTTCAATCCAATCTCATGCTTCAAGAAGTAAATTTCCCAGAAAACGCTCGAAATGGACCTTGTTGTAATCGCTCTGCATCTAAATCATGGGAAGATACATACAAACTCGGCGGAAAGAAAAAACCAAAATAAATACAGATTTCCAATTAAACACAGCCCTTAAACTTTCCCGAATCTGCTTCAAGAGATGTTTGCTTAAATTCAAAACTATGTTTCACCATTCAAGCCTCCACACGTCTAATACACATACATACATACTATATCCTTAGATTTAAGCCCCAATGTCAATGGAAACACTTCTTTGTTTTTAGAATTTATTTTGAAGCAACGAATATTCTTCTAATAATGTATTTTGCAAAATATTGAAAAAAAAAAGAAAACAACCAATCAACAAAAAGAATCAATACTTAAAAATTTTAACTTATTTGGTATGGTATGCATATGGTGTGTGATACACCTTTCTGGCACTACTTACTTATCGCCTTACCGTGAATTGTAAGTTGTACGTACATATGTATTTTAATATTTCACACATATTGCCCTACGTATACATGCATATATATGTTAAACAAAACAAAACAAAAACAAATAAATTAATGAAAAGACAACCAAAAAATATTTGTACAAAATACTTACATAGACACATGAGATCCCATCATCCAAAGTTATCAACGGAACCAAACACATACATACACACATATTGTTGTAAATTAAGTCATTCAATGGAATTACGATGTAATTATAATCATCATTAATAAAAATCATAATAAATGTTTTAAATTTTAAAAGAGTTAATTGTTTATTAATTGAAGGAGGCATCATGTCGAACACATTCATAGGTCTAACACAAATATAAATATATTCTCGTTAAGGTGCTATCAAACCATGCCATACATAGAAGTTGCACCTATTGTTTGATACATATGAAGCATTTTTGGATTAGAGCGTGCCTTCTTTCAGAAAAATTCAAGGAAATCAGTAGTGAGATCCTCCAACAATAACATTTAAACGCAGAGAAATAACTAAAAGTTGAAATCATTGCATCAGACTACCGACCATCTGTCGCTAATACTTCCATTCCGTCGTTAATTTACGGACAATTTAGTTAATTACTGAAAACATAAGCAAATTGAAAGTTGATGTTATCGATAAATGTAAATTGTGTCTTTAAGTAGTTTGAAAATCGCATTACAGACTTTGGGTTTGTCTGCTGTTCTGTAAAATTTAGAGCTAACAAGCGGAACTTTGAATACTCTCCACCATTTGGAACTAATTTGGAAATAAAATCCTTAAAAAATTCTGTTAAAATTTTAAAAATATCGAATATAGCCGTTATATTGGTGTCTATACGACGTGGACCTACATAGGCATTGTTTGTCATAAGTCACTACCATATTCAAATTCGAGACTTGAAATAAAGGGTGAATAATATAGCTAAAATCATCAAAATATCGTATATAGGGAGTTACCGTTATATGGGGGCTATACGAAGACGTGGGCCTGCACAGATAATTTTCTGTCATAGGCCGTATTATCCATTTCGAACTTCAAATACCAAAGTTGAAACAATTCCGGAGAATATTGTCGCTAAAATAATCAAAATACCGAATATCGGGAGGTACCGTTGTATGGGGGCTATATGAAAACGTGGACCTACATTGCCCACTTACGAACTTAACCTGCCTACTGGCAAAATAAACATGTGTGCAAAATTTTAGCCTTCTATCTCAATTCGTTCGAAAGATAGCGTGATTACAACAGACAGACGGACATCGCTTAATCGACTTAGAATTTTACGCTGATCAAGAATAGATATACTTTGTTGGGTCTGTCATGAGTATTTCGAGGAGTCACAAACGGAATGACAAAGTTAATATAAACAAGTAAAAAAGCAGTAAGTTCGGCCGGGCCGAACTTTGAATACCTTCCACCATTTGGAACGAATTAGGAAATTTTCAAAAAAGAAAAATAAAATCCATTAACAATTATGTTAAAATCTCGGAAGGTGCCGATATATGGGGGGATAAACGATATTGTGGACCTATATAGACAAATCTATGTCTAGGGATAAAGTACTCACAAATAACTCCTTGTATAGAATTCAAGACAATTCCGTTTAAAAATGTGGCTAAAATCATCAAAATACCGAATATCGGGGTGTACCGTTATATGGGGGATATACGATATCATGGACCTATATAAAGAACTCCCTGTTAGGGGGTAAAGGGTTCACAAAGAACCACTTGAGTAGAATTTCAGACGATTCCGTTGAAAAATGTGGCTAAAATCGTCAACATACCGAATATCGGGGGGTACCGTTATATGTGGACTATATGATATCGTGGACCTATTTAATTCTCTTTCAATGAATAAAGTACTCACAAGGAACTCGTTGTGCGGATTTTCAGACCTTTTCGTTGGAAAATGTGGCTAAAATCGTCAAAATCCCGAATATCGGGGGATACCGTTATATGGGGTGTACAAAATACTTTGTACATACTTTTGAGTGCGGTTGAGGCACTGGGAAAAACTAGCAATAAACAATCAAAAATTACATATTTCCCAGCCACCATAAAATACCACATGTGAACAATTCGGTGATCTTGTGCGCTGACGCATACGATAATGCGTCAGATAATAAAGGTTATGACCCACACGCACAGATATCGCTGCGCTCAGTAGATGCACAAGACCACTAGAATGAAATGACAAGCAGCCCTGCAATGTTCTCCATTCAATAATAGAATAGATCAGAATAATTGTGTGGCTGCGACTAGGTTAAGTTAGATTAGTTTCAGTAGTACTTAAGAAAAATATTTTCATAATAAAATTAGAATTGAATCAACAGCCAAACTTTTCGGTGGGTTTTCTCTTTTCATTCATTGGTCCTTCGAAAAATAAAGAATCGACGTCCTAAAATAAAATTGGTTTGAGTTATCCCCCACCAGTGGTATGAAACTCAGAAAAGCCAAAAAAAGAAGTAGGTGTTCTTAAAAAGGAGAAGAACTTCTACCAAAAAATTCGGCTAAGGCATTTTAAATGTAAGACCATAGGGGCATTTTAAAAATAGCCGAAGGGATTAATTGAATAAAAAAGCCATTGGGCAAAAACAAAGCAAAAAAGCCACAGGGGCAAAATAAATAAAAAAGCCATAGAGGCAGAATTTAAAAAAAATATATATATACATATTTCAAAAAAAAAGACCCAAAGGGCAAAAATTACAAAACACGCCATAGGGGCAAAAACAAAAAAACAACTTAAAAAAAATAGATAAGAGGACAACATAAAAGAAAAACATACAATTTTGAAAAAAGGACATTAAAAGTCCCAACTGAAAAAAATAAAAGGAAAAAAGCCAAGAAGGCAACGTCAAAATAAACAAACAAAGAAGAAAAATATACAACAACAAAGCAAAAGATGATGCAAAAGAGTTCCAAAAACAAAAACTCCAAGAGGGGGAGCGTGAGCTTCAGAAAGCGGACAAAACAACAGCGTCAGGAGGCATTGAGCTCGAAAATCCTGGCATCCTGACAGCAAAAATGCTGCAAAGTTTCGGGCGTTCCAGATGTGATGCTGCAGGAGCAAATGAAGTCGATTATGGAAGAAATTGAGCAGATGTTCCTAATGCAACACTCCAGCAAAAATAAACAAGTAAAAAAGCAGTAAGTTCGGCCGGGCCGAACTTTAAATACCCTCCACCATTTGAAACGAATTAGAAAATTTTCAAAAAAATAAAATCCACTAAAAATTCTTTTAAAATCTTTAAAATATCTAATATAGGAAGGTGCCGATATATGGGGGGATATACGATATTGTGGACCTATAAAGACAAATCGATGTCTCCGTGTAATGTACTTACAAGGAACTCCTTGTGTGGATTTTCAGATAACTCCATTGGAAAAAGTGGCTAAAATCATCAAAATACCGAATATCGGGGGGTACAGTTATATGGGGGATATACGATATCGTGGACCTATATAGATAATTCTCTGCCGAGGTATAAAGTACCCACAAGGAACTCCTTGTGTGGAATTTCAGACAATTCCGTTGAAAAATGTGGGTAAAATCATAAAAATACCGAAAATCGGGGGTACCGTTATATAGGGGCTATACGATATCGTGGACCGATATAGCCCATCTTCGAACTTGACCTGCCTGCAGATAAAAGAGAGATCTGTGCAAAATTTTAGCTTCCTACCTTAATTCGTTTAGACTGTAGCGTGATTACAACAGACGGACGGACATGGCTAAATCGTCTTAGAATTTTACGCTGATCAAGAATATATATACTTTGTTGGGTCTAAAATGATTATTTCGATGAGTTACAAACGGAATGACGAACTTAATATACCCTCCATACTTTTTTTGGTGGAGGGTATAAAAAGGGGACAAGGAACAAGAGGAAAGGCAAGTCGTCGAAGGTGAGAAAGATGACTTGTCCAAACAACTATCAAGTGTAAAAGAGGGACATAATGCTGTTCAACGAAAACAGATTCCAGTCTTGGAAAGTAATTCTGGGAATTTTTTCCCGCCGACGAGTCCTCATTTTGAGGAACGGAAAAAAGAAGAAGAAAATTCAGCCCTGACCAATGAAGAACCCGAAAAACATAATGATATTGAAGAAAAGGAATAAAGGCGCTAAGGACAGAATGTCGCATCATTTCCAACGAATATGGGAACGAATTTATCGAAGAAGTGGGAAAATCCAAACAAAATTCTCTAGTTCCAGTTCCTGAACGGTACTGCCTAAGAGAAATCAATACCAAACCTCCAATGGCCGTTATAACAGAAGATGACAAACCGGAGCCTACCATAAAGCCAATGGCAATAATTTGCTACGTGGGTGATGACGGTCTGCAGCGATGGACTACTAATTCGACAGCATGGAAAATGAAGCCGGCAGACAAAGGTGGTGGTATCGTCAAGAGAGGCTGGATAAAAAAGTGGTTCCGTTTCCTGCAAGCAGTCACCCAGGATAATTTATATAGTATAGTATAATTAGTTTTAAATCTAAATATCTAAACATTTTTATATATATATACGCATTTAAGCCGCCCGGGAGAATGTACAAAATACTTTGTACATACTTTTGAGTGCGGTTGAGGCACTGGGAAAAACTAGCAATAAACAATCAAAAATTACATATTTCCCAGCCGCCATAAAATACCACATGTGAACAATTCGGTGATCTTGTGCGCTGACGCATACGATAATGCGTCAGATAATAAAGGTTATGACCCACACGCACAGATATCGCTGCGCTCAGTAGATGCACAAGACCACTAGAATGAAATGACAAGCAGCCCTGCAATGTTTTCTCTTCTCACTAATGGGGTTTATACGATATTTTGAACCTATATAGACAATTCCCTTTCAGGGGGTAAAGTTCCCACAAAGAACTCCTCGTGTGGATTTTCAGACTATTCTATTAGAGTATCGGGGGGGGGGTACCGTTACATGGAGGCTATACGATATCGTGGACCTATATAGATAATTCTCTTCCAAGGAATAATTTACCCACAAGGAACTCCTTGTGTGGATTTTGAGACAATTCCGTTGAAAAATGTGACTAAAATCATCAAAATACCGAATATCGGGGGGTATCGTTATATGGGGGCTATACGATATCGTGGACCTATATGGATAATTCTCTTTCTGGGGGTTAAGTGCCCACAAAGTACTCCTCGTGTGGATTTTCAGACTATTCTATTAGAAAATGTGGCTAAAATCATCAAAATACAGAGTATCGGGGGGTACCGTTACATGGAGGCTATACGATATCGTGGACCT